TCCTATCCTGTTATATATTATATTCTATATTCTATTCTATTCTGAATCTTATTCTATCCTATTCTATTCTTATTCCATATCCTATCCTATGTTATATATTATATTCTATATTCTATTCTATTCTGAATCCTATCCTATTCTATTCTTATTCCATGTCCTATCCTATCCTGTTATATATTCTATTTTATATTCTATTCTATTCTGAATCTTATTCTATCCTATTCTATTCTTATTCCATATCCTATCCTATCCTATGTTGTATATTCTATTCTATATTCTATTCTATTCTGAATCCTATTCTGTCCTATTCTTATTGTTAGGTATAACATTGATACCAAATATGGTTTGGGTGAATAAATATATAAAACTTAGATATCATGGTTTAAGTGCTTATCACTTTAAGCACAATGCAGCAGGCAATTAGCCGATTAAGGGTGCGGTTAGAAGTTACAATATAAGGAAGCATTAGAAGCTGGAAAGCTTACTCTCTGTCTGTAACTGTCTGTCTGTAACTGTGTGCTGCTGCGACTAACTGTGATTACTGACTGTGAGTGCCTGAGACTGAACTGTTATTGTTTGCTACTGTTTGCTGATTTACTGCGTAATTCTACTGAATATCCAGCGTTTGTTTCTCTGGAGAGTGAAACCGGAGAAGGAGAAGATATCTTTATCGGCTGATAAAGATATTGCAAGGACTCTTAACTTGGACTATACTAGTGAGTCTTACTGGATGGAAATACTGTGAATGACTTAATGGACTGAATGACAATGCTTAAACTCTAACTGGATTAAAAACTATTTAAACTACAAACAGTGTTTGTGTTCAGTGTGTGTATACTCTGGGGCCCTTCCGCTCTCCTTTGGTTGCCTGGCTTGACTACTGCTGAAATACTCTTCTAGGGGTTAATCCTCAATCCCTAACATTGGTTATGGGCCCAGCAGCATAGTCTAACTAACCAGGATATAGCAGAGAGAGTTGGTGTGAGTTGCACATTACTGTAAAATACAAACTGTTTTAATTAGTTTAAAATAGTCAAAATATCTGAAGAGTAATGGCACAAGTAAATTTGTCACAACTGTCCATGATATCCAGGCTGGATGGAACAAACTATGTTTCATGGTCAATGAAATGTAGTTTACTTCTACGCAGAGAAGATTTGTGGGACATTATAGCAAACCCACCAGATGTGAGTAGCTGGGATCCTGCTAATGATGATGATAAAGAAAAGTTACAAGACTTTAAACTGAAGAATGAGCAGGCTTTATGCATCATAGGACTGACTCTCTGTGATCAGCAGCTTGTCCATATTCGTGGAGAAGAAAATGCTGCAAACTGCTGGGAGAACCTCAGGAAGATTTATGTTCGGGACAGTGTAGGAGCACATATAAATCTTACACGCAAGCTTTTTCGAACGCATCTTCAGAGGAATGGAGATATGTTAGTTCATTTAAACTGTATGAAGAGCATTTTTCAAGATTTGAAAGAAAAAGAGCTTATATTTAATGAACTACAACAAGTCTACATAATATTATCTTCATTAGATCAAAGCTATGATGACTATGTGACTTCGTT